TGGGGCTCCTGTCCACCCTGGTCCCAGGTAAATGTGAATGGAGACAGGTGTGAGAACCTGTCCTCATCCTTACCCCATCCTGGGCCTCATGACGGTGCTACCTAAGAAAGTCTTCCCCCCACCCCCACTAGCCTGGTCAGTGGTCAGCAAATTGGAGGAGGATCYGGCAGGAGTCTTTAAATGTGAGATAAAAATGTCTTGGTTGTACCTGTTTGTGGTTTAGCTTTGTATTTAAGCAAACAAACAAAAAAAAGGAAATAAACTTGAAAATTATTTGTCATCATAAAAATGAAACAAAAATTAAAATATTTATTGCCAGGCAAGGCCAACTATGTGTCTTTCTCTTTTTATAAGGTAGAAGTAGAAATATGTAGGGTTTGAGAACCAGCTTTGGGGATTGTCCTAGGAATCCAGACAGTCTTGTTGATACAATTTTGAGCAATCCAAACTCTTCAGTTTCCTCACCTGAGTAAGGGGTCAGGAGTCATAGGGCACTTGTGAAGATGAGAAGTTTTAATGCATGCTGGCCCTAGGACAAGGTCTGGCATGTAGTAAGCACCATGAGTTTTATTTTATTTATTTTATGTTTTTGAGAGAGAATTTTTAATATTTATTTTTCAGTTTTTCGGCAGACACAACATCTTTCTTTGTATGTGGTGCTGAGGATCGAACCYGGGCCGCATGCATGCCAGGCGAGCATGCTACCGCTTGAGCCACATCCCCAGCCCCACCATGAATTTTAGATGCTATAATTGGTTAGATCCAATTCTCAGGTGGCTCAGTACCATCCACCCAGGCCTGTCTTGTGCTGGAGACCCTCCTTCCAGGYTCTCAGTCCCCACTACGCATCCCACTGCCCTCCTTCCGTTCATTCCCTCAATCCCAGTACTTGAGCACTTGAGTAGATTGTGACTGAGGATTTGAGAGATGTATCATCAGCTTAAGTGTTGTCAGTCCTACGACCTTGGACACAGATCACTTCCCCTCTGAAACCTGTCCATCAGGCTCACCTGCCTTGTAGGGGTGCCCTGAGRACTAAGTCACAAGTGTTACTATTTATCTTGGAGGGGACTGTGGCCTGGTGGTGGGGTAGGAACTGGAGCTCCTAAGTAAGTCAAGTTTCCTCCTGCATGGCACGGAGAGATGTACTGACATGGGCAAACGTGAGGATTTGGTGAGTTAATATGTAAAAAGCACTTGGACTAGTGCTTTGCACATGGATAATTCTCAGTAATCACTGTTAGCTATTAACAGGATTCAAAATTGGTGTTTTGGGCTGGGGACATAGCTCAGTTGGTMGAGTGCTTGCCTTGCATGCASAAGGCCCTGGGTTCAATCCCCAGTACCACAAAAAAAAGTATTTTACAAGTGCTCAGGACTGATGGCTAATTAGTGCCTCCAAGTTTCTGATCTTTGATTGTATTTTATTTTTTTGCAGTACTAGAGATTTAACCTAGGACCTTCTGCATACTAGGCAAGTGCTCCTCCACTGAGCAACAGCCCCAGCCCCTTTTTAATTTTTATTTTATTAATTTACTTCTTGGTACTGGGATTGAATTCAGGGGCACTCAACCATTGAGCCACATCCTCAAACCATTTTTGTATTTTATTTAAAGACAGGGTCTCACGGAGTTACTTAGGGCTTCACTAAAGTGCTGAGGCTGGCTTTGAACTCACGATTCTCTTGCTTCAAGCCTCCTGAGTTGCTGGGATTACAGATGCGCGCCACAGTGCCTGTCTAAAATTTTATTTTGAGGCAGGGTCTTGCTCAGGTAGGTGTCCAGGTGGGCCTCAACCTTGTGATGCTCCTGCCTTAGCCTCCTGAGTTGWTGAGATCACGAGTGAACACCACTGTGCTTGGCTGATCTTCATTTTTAAAAGATGATTATTGCTGCAACCATTTCTGGTGCCTTTTGAGTCAGGGCTCAAACACCAGCTTTTAAGCCTGCCCCTCCCTGGGACCATGCTGGCTGGAAGCCAGTGTTGTGGGAGCTTTAGAGCCCAGGGATGTGGCAGCTCTCATCTATGGTTACTCAGAACCCGCCTCTGGGAGAAAAGCTCCCAGGACGCATCTTCCAGGATGCCCACGCCCCAGCCAGGGATGACCAGGGTCTGCACTCCAAGCATTCCTTATGACTTCCATGAGTCTCTCCCAGGGAGCCAGAGTCCCCAGGGTCATCTCAACATGACATTGCTTTTGGAGGGGGCTCTTGCCATCTGTCCCCATGAGGGAGAAAGCAGGAGAGCATTTAGACAAGGGAACCCCATGTCTCAAGATGCAGGTGTTACAGAAATGGCTCATAAACAGCAACACACCCACCTCATGGGCTTATGAGGACACAATATGGGTGAGATATCTAAGAGGGAACTGAGCAAGGCATGTGGGAAACTTTGGTCASTAATATTAGCACTTATCGAAGATCTGCACCAAGAACCAGGCCTCAGGATTAGATCTGCCTTTGTACCCCCGGCAGCCACTTCCCTGTGTGACCTTGTGAAAGRCATGTATGAACATGAGCTGCCTCAAGTCCTTCCTGCCCCCTGCCCACCTCCCCACCACCTGTCTTGGTGATTGATCCCAGGGGCACATGATTGCTGAGCCACAGCCCAGCCTTTTATTGCTTTTATTTTTTAAATATTTTATTAGTTGTTGATGAACCTTTATTTATGAGGTGCTGAGAGTTGAACCCAGTGCCTCACACATGCTAGGGAAGCAATCTACCACTAAGCCACAACCCCACCCTCCAGGCATTTATTTATTTATTTATGGTGGTGCTGGGAATTGAACCCAGGGCCTCATGCATAAAAGGCAGGCACTCTACCAACTGAGCTATATCCCTGGCCCACCTTTTTTTTACTTTTTATTTTTTTGAAACAGGGTCTTGCTAAGATGCCAGGCTGGGCCTCGGCCTCCTGAGTCACTGGGATTACAAGTGTGATTCACCATACACAGTTTCCTGAATTGTTATGAAGAACAATCAGGTAATCCATGGTAAGTTAGTGTCACCTACCAAGAAGACAGACCCCTGGGACATGTTCAGCAGGCTCATTCATTTATTTGTAAAGTGTGGCCACCTGCACTCTCTGTGGTGCATGTCATAGATTCCTAAATCCCCATTTGTTTTTCACATTTTAACATCTTAAGAAATCAAGATGAGACTTAAAATTAATAGCCTCTTAAAATTATAACTGCAGTCAGGTATGGTGGCACTCACCTGAAATCCCAGCAACATGGGAAGTTGAAGCAGGAAGATGCCTGGGCAATTTAGTGAGACCCTTCTCAAAAAGGGATGGGAGCTGAGGATGTTGCTTATTGGTAGAGGGCTGCTGGGTTCAATCCCCAGTACCCCCCTCAAAAAATATATGTGTGTGTGTGTATATACACACACACACACACACACACACACATATACACACACACATACATGCTGTATACACCACCTTAATTCTACCTTAATTCACTGTAAAATAGCTATAGAAAATATAAATGCTTCCCAGCAGATCAGGAGACTGAAGCAGGAGGATCACAATTTTGAGGCTAGCTTCAGCAACTTAGYGAGGCCCTGAGCAACTTAGTAAGACCCCATCTCAAAATAAAAAATATACAGGCTGGGGACTGTGGCTCAGTGGCTAAGCACCCCTGGGTTCAATCCCAATAATGAAGGGAAGAAAAAAGAAGAAAAATAAAGAAGTACAAAAGTCATTAAACTTTAATACAAAATTATGCAAAGGAAGTCACAGGAGCTAAATCGAATATTCGCCAAGTGCCAGTGAAGAGGGCACTGGGAAGTCAGTACCACGTGCTGCTCCTCTCTCCCCCACCTTGCCACCTTCAAAGGCCTGGGGCATTGGTGGGACCGGAGGTGTCCGCACACTGGAGGCCTCTCCCGGCCCTAGAGGCAGAAGGTGGCTCTATCTCACACTCCTTCTGCTTTCTGGATTTCTTGGGGCCCCGTCGCCGACCCTGGCCAGAAGTTCCAGGGTGTCCAGTTCTGTGGCCGTGAGAAGRTGAGCCTGCGACAACCTCCGCTCCTTCCTCGGAAGCAAAAGAGCAAAAACAGTTTGGACGCGGAGGGAGACGGTCTGGAGGGCATCTTGCTGAGGTCAAGTCTGAGGTCAGAGGTCACGGCTTGGATCTAGGTCGGCTTCCCAGACCGGAAGGAGAACCTGGGTGGAGAGAGGGGCAGGGTGAGCAGAGAGCAAGCCACTCTTGTGGGCCATGACTCAAACATTTACTCAGGCTTCTTATGGGTCAAACCCTATTCCGGGTGTTCCGTCCATCAGCCCGAGTCACACTCTCAGCAATTCTGCTGTCACACAATTAATATCTTTGTTTCATAGTGGAGCAAACTGAGGTCCCATGAGGCTAAGGAACAGGCCCCATTTCACACAGTGGGCTGTGCAACCAGGAGTTGGGTCCAGATTCACATTGTCACTGTGCCACCCTGACAGATGGTGTATGGCACTTTTTTTTTTTTTTTGGTACTCGGGATTGAACCTAGGAGCAGTTAACACCTGAGCCACATCCYGAGTTCTTTTTAATATTCTATTTACTTTCTTTTTTTGGGGGGGTACTGGAGGTTGAACTCAGGGGCACTTCCCACTGAGCCACATCCCCAGCCCTATTTTGTATTTTATTTAGAGACAAGGTCTCACTGAGTTGCTTAGTACCTCGCTAAATTGTTGAGGCTGGCTTTGAACTTGTGATCCTTCTGCCTCAGCCTCTCAAGCCACTGCGATTAAAGGCATGCACCATTTTTTTTTTTTTAAGTTTTGTGATAAAGGTAAAGATCACTTTTCTTTTTTAAGAGAGAGAGAGAATTTTTTTTAATATTTATTTTGAAGTTTCCGACGGACACAACATCTTTATTTGTGTTGTATGTGGTGCTGAGGATCGAACCCAGCAACGCTCGAATGCCAGGCGAGCACGCTACCGCTTGAGCCACATCCCCAGCCCAAAAATATCACTTTTCAATGTTAACCTACAGTTATAAAACAGACCTGTGTAATGAATAACACATGGAGTCCCAGGTAGAACAGACAAAACCTATAAAGGTCTCCCCAGAGCCAGGAACACCAAATTTAGGTGACCTCTCCCTCACAAAGAGCTTAGAACAATGTTGGGCTGGTCACAAAGTACAACCTGGACAGAGAGGCCAGGACATGCGGGGCCAACGTTGGGTGTTGGGCCGAGTCGTGTCCTAAGGGCCAGCCCCTGATCCCCCCAGCAGCCTGTCCCCACATGTGGATGCTGGTGTCACAGCTATGCCAGGCCATCCTCCCCTGAACCAGTAACATGCTCCCCACCCTGTCACTCCTCCCGTCTCAGGAAACGACACCCCCACCTCCAACTCATTCATGCCAGAGGCCTGGCAGGCATCCTTGGCCAGCCATCTGCCACAGGTTAGTCATCGCATCCCGAACACGTTCCTGGTATTGCCACTTCTCCTCTGCCACCCCCATCCAGGCCACCACAGCGTGCATGCAACCTCCCAGGGATGCCTGACACCTACGTGTGAAAGCAGCAGCCAGGAGGACCTGTCCTCCACCGTGTGCAGCTGACCAAGCCATTCCTCAGCTTAGCCCCCCGGGGGCTCCCCTGTCCTCGGGATCAAGTCAGAAGTCCTCCTCCTGGGCCTGACCCCTTCTCCAGAGCGTCACTCCTTGATTCATTCATTCTTTCCACGGCTCGATCAGCTCATCCGACCACGACTTAATGGCCTTGTGCTTATGCAAAGGGCAGATGTTTCATTTCTGTCACATCAGGCTAGAAGTTCAATAAGCAACCAGAGAACTCCCCCAGAAGTGGATGCCTTCGGGATACCCTGAGAGCCTGAGCCRAACACCTCAGACCCCTGCCTGGAGCGGGCCGCTCCTCACTGCCTTGCCTGGAAGAGGCCCCCAACCTCTCCAGGGAAGCCAGAGGATGTGTTTACTGCACACGTGCTGACCTCACTCCCAGCTGTCCCCAGCAGGACCCCTGGCTCTCCACCTCCATTGTCTTCACTGTCCAGCCTCCCTGTCCTTCTGTCCCMTAAGCTATCTGCAACCTTGAGGCCCTTTATTCCTACTGTCCCATCTGCCTTCAATTTTTATTGACTTGGCTTGAATGTCACCTCCTCACAGATGCCTCTCAGGACTCCCCAGGTCACTCGCTTGCCACTGTGTCTGATGGTCTTCATAGCACTGTGGCTCTCTGAAATTCCCTGCAGTTTATTTCTGTGCCAGTTCCCTCTCCTGTCCCAACCAGGGTGCCAGCTCCACTGGGGCAGAAACTCCGTCTCTGTGTCTCCAGCATCCAGAACAACGGTAAGAGCCTTGAGTTTTGTCTTTCTTTTTCTTGCAGTGCAGGGTTGAGCCCAGACCCTAGAGCATGCTCAACATGCCTCCACCACCGAGCTCCACCCGCCATCTTCCATGTCATTTCTTCTCTTTCTTTCTCTCTTCTYCCCCCCCCACAAATGGGGTCTCTGTGTTGCCAGGCTCCAGTCATCCTCCCACCTCAGCCTCCAAGGACCGGGGACTATAGGAGCACAACACATGCCCGGCTTAAATATGCACTGAACAAATGAACGAGCCGGCTGCAGTGGCCACGCATGTAACCCCAGYAGCTCTGGAGGCTGAGGCAGGAGGATTGCGAGTTCAAAGCCAGCCTCAGCAATTTACAAGGTCYTRAGTAACTCAGTGAGACCCCGTCTCTAAATAAAAAAACACAGAAGGACAGGGGATGTGTCTCAGGGGTCAAGAGCCCCTGGGTTCATCCCAGTACCAAAACTAAATGAATCAATTTGGTTTCAGGTGGTCTTGTGGAGAAAGCAGCCTCGAGAGGCCTTTCCAGACAGCTTGGTGCTGCTCATCCACTTAAGAACGTGCCCCCAGCTGGGTCCAACCCCTCCCTCGCTGCCCTGGGCTCCTCTCCTCCAGCTTCTGCTGGGCTCAGTGACCTGGAGCCGTTGGAAGGAGAGGCAGGGGAGAGGAGAGGCAGGGGAGAAGAGAGGCACGGGATCTGTTTTCAGTTTCCCACCAGGCCCCACCTTCSCAGTTCCTGTGCTTGATTTCCTCTCATGTTCGGCCTCTGCCCTCAGACTGAGCAGTCACACTGCCCCCCTGGGCAACAGTCCTGCAGTGCTTGTCCACGCCCCAGGGTTCCCTTGCGCTTACCTCACCTCTGCAAAATGTCCCTTCGCTGAATCTCTTTACCTCCCTACGTGTGTGTGTGTGTGTGTGTGTACATGTGCTGGGGACATAACTCAAGACACTGTACCACTGAGCCCTTTTTAAAAATTTCCTTTTGAGACAGGGTGTCACTAAGTTGCCCAGGCTGGCCTCAAACTTGGCAATCTTCTGGCCTCAGCCTCTAGAGTCACTGGGATTACAGGTGTGGGCCACCACTTGTTCAGTGATGCCTATTTGAGTGTGACATCTGATTCTTGGCAGGTCCCTGACCAGCATAGCTCATAGCCCAACAGCTTCACTCATGGAGGCATCTCCCTGGAAAATCTGAATTTCATAGGAATGGGGGTGGTTTTGCTGGCAACCTGGGGGCCCCTCACTGTGTGAAGGATTAGGCTGGGGTGAGAAGCAAGTGGTGGAACCTCACACTGCTGTCTGGAAGGATCTTAGAAACGGTGCTTACTCATCAACAGATGAATGAATAAACAAAATACGTCCATCCATACAATGAAATATGATTCAGCCTGAGGAAGGAGTGAGGTTCTGACACATGCTATACCACGGATGGACCTAAGGACACTAGGCTAACTGAAATCAACTGGACGAAAAGGCTGGGAATGTGGCTCAAGCGGTAGCGTGCTCGCCTGGCATGCGTGCAGCCCGGGTTCGATCCTCAGCACCACATACAAACAAAGATGTTGTGTCCGCCCAGAACTAAAAAATAAATATTAAAAAAAAAAAAGGTACAAATGTAGGGTTTCACCTACAGGAAGATGTGTGAAGACAGAAAGTAGGATAGAAATTACCAAAAGCTGGTAGAAAGGAAAACAGGGAGTTATTGTTTAATGCACAGGGTTCCACCTGGGGATGATGAAAAGGTGGTGGAGGTAATAATGATAATTAATAGATGTGCTAATGCGGTAAACACCTGGAGTGGTGCACTTAATGGTCAGAATGRTATATCTTATGTTATGAATATTTTACCTATTGTTAAAAAAAAAAAGAAAAAGAAAGGAGGAAAGAAGAAAATCATCTGGACTCAGTTCTCAAGAGCTGAAGATTCTGAGCATGCACCTGCCAGGGCTGAATTGTTCAATATGGCCGCCCCAGGAACATGTGGCCCACAAGCACTAAGAAGGCAGTGAGTCTTAACTGAAATGTGCTGTACATTAAACATACAGCAGATAACACACAGAATGGAAAATATCTTATTAATGATGTCTTATAGGAATCACCTGTTGAAATGATAGAATTTTGGATGTGTTAACAAACTATATTATTAAAATTAAGAACATGGGCTGGGGCTGGGGCTGGGGCTGGGGCTCAGTGGTAGAGCGCTTGCCTAGCATGTGTGAGGCCCTGGGTTCGATTCTCAGCACCACATATAAATAAATGAATAAAATAAAGGTCCATCAACATCTAAAAAAATTTTTTTTTAAAAAGAACATACATATGGGTGGTCAGTGAGAAATAATTAAAAAAAAATGTTTGGTAGGGAAAAAAAAAAAAAGAAAGTCAGGCATGATGGTACATGCCTGTAATCCCAGAGACTCAGGAGGCTGAGTCAGGAAGATGGCAAATTTGAGTCTAGCCTCAGCAATTTAGTGAGATCCCATCGCAAAATAAAAACTAAAAAGAGCTAGGAGCCAGCATAGTAGTGTACACCTGTAATTCCAACGGCTCAGGAGGCTGAGGCAGGAGGATCTTGACTTCAAAGCCAGCCCTAGCAATTAAGTGAGGCCCTAAGCAACATGACAAGACCCTGCCTCTAAATAAATATAAAAATAGGACTGGGGATGTGGCTCAGTGGGGTTAAGCACCCCTGGGTTCAATCCCCAGTACAAAAAATAGAAAAATTAAAAATTAAAATAAGGGGTTGGGGGGGCTGGGGATGTGGCTCAAGTGGTAGCACGCTCGCCTGGCATGCGTGCGGCCCGGGTTCGATCCTCAGCACCACATACCAACAAAGATGTTGTGTCTGCCGAAAACTAAAAAATAAA